CTTCTTTCACAATTTCCTATGTCTTGGGCATGCTTCCATCCCTTCTCATAGCATTTCAGCATTGCAGATACATTAAAACTGCTACAAACGGTTTCCAGTTCCCACACTCTACACTGCTCACCTTACTACTTCTTTCACCTGTTCCTACGTCGCGGATCTGTTTCCCTCTCTTCCCATAGCATTTTAAGATTGCAGATACCTGAATCTAATCGTCATAAACAGATCCCACACTCCGAACAGCTCGCCTTTACTACTTCCTTCGCCACTTCCCACATCGCGGACCTGTTTTCCTCCCTTCCCATAGCATTTTAGGATTGCAGATACCCTTATCTTATCGTCATAATAGTTCCAACACTCCGGACAGCTCGCCTTGACTACTTCCTTCACCACATCCTACGTCGCGGACCTGTTTCCCTCCCTTCCCATTGCACTTAAAGATTGCAGATACCTTAATCTAATCGTCATAAACAGTTCCCGCACTCCGGACTACTCGCCTTGACTACTTCCTTCACCACTTCCTACGTCGCGGACCTGTTTTCCTCCCTTCCCATAGCATTTTAGGATTGCAGATACCCTAATCTTATCGTCATAAACAGTCCCCACACTCCGGACTGCTCGCATTTACTACTTCCTTCATATCACTTCCTACGTCACGGACCTGTTTCCCTCTATTCCCATAGCATTTTATGATTGCCTTTACCACTTCCCTCACTACTTCCTACGTCACGGACCTGTTTTCCTCCCTTCCCATAGCATTTTAGGATTGCAGATACCCTAATCTTATCGTCATAAACAGTCCCCACACTCCGGACTGCTCGCATTTACTACTTCCTTCATATCACTTCCTACGTCACGGACCTGTTTCCCTCTATTCCCATAGCATTTTATGATTGCCTTTACTACTTCCCTCACTACTTCCTACGTCACGGACCTGTTTCCCTCCCTTCCCATTGCACTTAAAGATTGCAGATACCTTAATCTAATCGTCATAAACAGTTCCCGCACTCCGGACTACTCGCCTTGACTACTTCCTTCACCACTTCCTACGTCGCGGACCTGTTTTCCTCCCTTCCCATATCATTTTAGGATTGCAGATACCCTAATCTAATAGTCATAAACAGTTTCCACACTCCAGACTGTTCACCTTTACTACTTCCTTAACCTCTTCATACGTCACGAACCTCAAGCTAGTGTCGTCATTTGATTATAGTACCTGGGGACCGAGCTTTGCTCGGGGAAAATCATTAGTTCACTCTGAAAGCACCGTAGTATTGGAGATACATAAATCCACACATCTACATCCTACACAATTTCCTACGTCATGGACCTGTTTCCCTCCATTCCATTGCATTTAAAGATTGCAGATACCTTAATCTAATCGTCATAAACAGTTCCCACACTCCGGACTACTCGCCTTGACTACTTCCTTCACCACTTCCTACGTCGCGGACCTGTTTCCCTCCCTTCCCATAGCATTTTAGGATTGCAAATACCTTTATCTAATCGTCATAAACAGTTCCCACACTCCGGACAGCTCACCTTGACTACTTCCTTCATCACTTCCTACGTTGCGGACCTGTTTTCCTCCCTTCCCGTAGCATTTTAGGTTTGCTGATACCATAATCTAATTGTCATAAACATTTCCAACACTCCGGACAACTCGCCTAGACTACTTCCTTCACCACTTCCTACGTCGCGGACCTATTTTCCTCCCTTTCCATAGCATTTTAGAATTGCAAATACCTTAATCTAATCGTCATAAACAGTTCCCACACTCCGGACAGCTCACCTTGACTACTTCCTTCATCACTTCCTACGTCGCGGACCTGTTTTCCTCCCTTCCCGTAGCATTTTAGGTTTGCTGATACCTTAATCTAATTGTCATAAACATTTCCAACACTCCGGACAACTCGCCTAGACTACTTCCTTCACCACTTCCTACGTCGCGGACCTATTTTCCTCCCTTTCCATAGCATTTTAGGATTGCAAATACCTTAATCTAATCATCATAAACAGTTCCCACGCTCCAGACAGCTCGCCTTGACTACTTCCTTCACCACTTCTTACGTCACGGACCTGTTTCCCTCCCTTCCCATAGCATTTTAGGATTGCCCATACCCTTATCTAATCGTCATAATAGTTCCAACACTCCGGACAGCTCGCCTTGACTACTTCCTTCACCACTTCCTACGTCGCGGACCTGTTTCCCTCCCTTCCCATTGCACTTAAAGATTGCAGATACCTTAATCTAATCGTCATAAACAGTTCCCGCACTCCGGACTACTCGCCTTGACTACTTCCTTCACCACTTCCTACGTCGCGGACCTGTTTTCCTCCCTTCCCATAGCATTTTAGGATTGCAGATACCCTAATCTTATCGTCATAAACAGTCCCCACACTCCGGACTGCTCGCATTTACTACTTCCTTCATATCACTTCCTACGTCACGGACCTGTTTCCCTCTATTCCCATAGCATTTTATGATTGCCTTTACTACTTCCCTCACTACTTCCTACGTCACGGACCTGTTTCCTTCCCTTCCCATAGCATTTTAGGATTGCAGATACCTTAATGTATTCGTAACAAAACAGATCCTAGAATTCGCACTGCTACCCTTGACTACAATGTATCGAGTAATCTTAAGTATAATCTTTGCTCAATATTAACAAGTGATGTTTTTCCTTTTGTACTGTATTTGTAATTTCCTAGTATACTGTGGGTAGTTGGCTTATTATGAACACATGCTAAAACTTCAAATCTTTTGTTTACTTTTTACTTGTTATTTAATTCAGCCAACATGGTTACCTAGCAACCCATAAGACTAATGTTAAGAAAATGTGATTTTCAGTTTCATTTTTCTACGGATTCCTGAGAGACTTTTTTAACGCCATATAGATGTTGGCACTCACCGATATGGTCTTTATCACCATGCAAAATTTGAAAACGATTGATTCAGCCGTCTAGGAGGAGTTTGCGTATTACGAAATGCATAAAAGTCGACGTATAAGAGCTTCGCTCGCTTCGCTCGCTCCGCTCAACAACCGTACATCATTTAATGGTCCGATGGCTGGTGAGATTATCTACAAAATCATTTAAATCAAATACACTAAGTTTCAATGGAGTTTAACATAAAGTATACAATTCTTAAAATATAAAATATTACTAACTTAATAGTTGTCTACAAAATGTTAATGTTATATTCATATTGTTGACAAAATTGATCATTGCAGACAAAAAACTTTTAGATCGGTATTTATATTCATCCTTGTATATCAATACATTTATGTACATAAGTAATGTTAAATGTATCCATGCACAAACATAAGTTTGATATTAGTACCAGGGCATGCACAGTAACTAAACTGAAATACATTTTACTTCGTGGAAGAAAACAATCTTAAGTTTATGAAAAAGTATAGGATTTTTATTTTACTTATTACAATGGGGGTAGGTATAGCACAACTTTTTAAAGTCGCTAGCTCCTTTACCTAAATACCAAATCTTCACCGTTTCAGTTAAAAGGTTGTTGCTTAACATATTTTAACACTAATAATTATTTCCATATCTAAAACTGTAGGGGTTTTGAAGAAAGACCGCATTGGAAAAGTAACCAAATCCTAGATAATACCACTATCGACCATAAACGCTGCAGCTATTTAAGTCATCTTTTATTTTCGAGATGATTTACAAACAGTAACCATCCGTATTTATGGTATTTGCAAAAAGAGGTTATAAATAATTTATAAAAAAAAGTATACCGCGTTTTTTAAATACAACTAATTACTTTCTGATACATTTTTACTTTATTATATATTTTTACTTCCTCCCCATATACCTGGTATTTTATTTAACAAGTAATTTAATTTCTAAAATGCCTCTGCTGTTTTGGCACTTTCAAATAATACCTCCTTGAAAAGTGTTAATCAGAGCATGTAAACTTTTTTGTTTGCTTTTTAGTGGAAAAAGGAGTTTGAATATAAAGTTTGAAAGGCACTAAAATATCTAAAAATCTATTTTACAGCCATTATGGAATATTAAAAATATTCGTCAATGGAAACATTTTACGTTGAGATTTGTTTTTCTGGAATCTTTATAAATCTACCTGTACAATGTAATCAAACTAAAGCATAAATGACATTTTCGCACCTGTAAATGTTACATAAATGGTAGCTTTTATATCTTGGTTACCATTAGTCTATCATGCATTTTGAGTTTCACAGAACATCTTAAATGGGGAATTTTCCAAATTTAAAGTTTTCTGTAAAGGTTTATTGCATTATAAACTTCTGGTGGGAAACTATAGATATAGATGATTGCATATAGGCCCAATTGAAAGAAACCCCTTATATTTTTTAAATGCTTATAAAAAAATGCAAATAAAATATAAAAAAGATTCTTACAAATGGAATAGAAGTTTGACAGAAATTGAATTTCTATAAAAACTCTAAACCAATCAAGAATATTATTTTGCGATTATCCTAACATTCTTTACTTTCAGAACGCTTTGTGATGGTAAATACCATTATGTCTTATTCCTGAAATCATAACAAAAACCTAATACAAAAGAAAAAAACCACAAAAAAAACAACTTAACAGTTTTTCTAAAACTTTACATAGCTCATGAAAACTATCATGCTCTTTTATGTTTTGGAAATGTATTAAACACCGTTATAAAATACTAAAGAACACAACAGGAAACAAATCAAAAACATACCTACCTATATCCTGTTTAATACCTCTAATGACAGAAAATCCCTCGCGCAAAACACCACCATCGAATGAAAAGAAAATACGCCAGATAGAATCGAATATTAATCAATTACACGATCGCACATCGGATTCAGGGAAGATGAGTTAATTCAAGGTGTTTATCGATCCTTTCTAATCTGACAAGAGTTGACGCGCGAAAGGACGGTGTTTACAGGGAGCTAACGACGTCTAGATTGATAACAAAGGTAAATGATCGTGAAGTGTGTGAAGGCTTGGCATTACAGCACATCATGGCGACGATAAAGGTATGTTGGGTTTAAGCTGGATAATACCTAGGCTTACCGATGGATTGGAGGGTCGGTATTAGTTAGGCTTAGACACTTATATGTTTAATGTTGTGTATGTTTCAAATCGACTTTATTTTAGAATTTGAATACGCTGAGTAAACTATTTTTTATATTCTGGAATCTGATCATTATTTTCTTTTGAAAACAAATACTGCCATTAATCAAAAATAATATCAGGGTTTTTAATGTTTTGTATGACTATAATGGATTGTGTAGATTAACTAAATTTAAAATGTACAAAAGTTTTGGGTAACTGGGCTGATTAATTAATTGTAGTAGATATTTTCATATTTAATAATTAAACTTCAAAGATCCAGGTTTTGTATTTTTATACAATTAAATGAATTAAATCTTATTCCGTATTAAAATTTCGATTTATTATCATAATTGAAAACAGTATTTTCCTTTGATAAACAATCCTATCTTAATTTTTAGGAGTATCCTGTTAATACATAGACATGTAGATATAAATTTCTTCAGATTTTTACCCTATAATAGTTTAAAATATAACATCCTTAACACTATTAAGGAGGTTGTCCAAATACTTGTCTGGGAATGGTCCGGGGTTTGTCCGGGGGGGGGGTCGGGGATTGTGTTAACAAATTTTTTCAAAACTTCTTACGGGAACTATGTTAGTTTACAGATTTTCTTAAATAAAAAAAAAATATTTATTTATAGAGCTTTAAAAAACACAGCTGTTTGTTTATATTCCATCAGCAATGTAATTTAAACCATCCAATGGCATCCGTACCTGTCGTTTATGTAAAACTAAGTAGTCAATAAGTACTGTACAAAATGAACAGATTTATTCGTCACGTTGAGTAACATTTTACGGTTATGAGGTTTATGTACATTTTATTTTGATTTTGTGTTTACAGAATTCAAAAATTAAATGTAACGAGCTGTTGGCCCGTCTTGCGTACGGGAATCGAGTAGTCAATTAAAACTGAATATGATTCAGAACAGCTAGTTTACTACTTGGTGGCCGATTCACACACACACACTGGCTTTGAGTACAGTAGTTACATACCACCTTCCACTGCATAGGCCTACTATCACTTACCGTACCTTATTTTACCACCTTGGCCATTGGGCTACGTCCAAATTCACCAACATTTTTGGGGTCGTTTCTAATGTCCAAATTCACCAACTTTCTACCTGGAGCAGGTACGATATTTCTCCCGGCGGGCGGGGAAGGAATTCCGAATAGTTTTCCCTCGCCTGCTCCGTCTCGTCTCGGCGAGAGTGTACTGCTTAGCCCTAATAGTACTGTTTAAGCTGCGATTGTTTCAGGCAGCTTTAGGTTAGGTTAGGTTAGGTTAGGTTTGGTTAGGTTAGGTTAGGTTAAGTTAGGTTAGGTTAGGTTACAGTACACTCTCGCCGAGACGAGACGGAGCAGGCGATGGCAAACTATTTGGAGGGAATTCCTTCCCCGCCCGCCGGGAGAAATATCGTACCTGCTAAAGGTAGAAAGTTGGTGAATTTGGACATTAGAAGCGACCCCAAAAATGTTGGTGAATTTGGATCTGGCCGGCCATTGAAACCTCTAAAATGATTGTGGACTCCCGTTCTCTTATATCCCCTGCCATTTCTAAGGAAGATACCAGTCTGAAGATGGCTTTCATTACTTGGTCTTCCAAGTGGTCGTCTACATTGTAGTACTCCTTGGAATACACTTTTAAAAGTTGAAGTATCTTCTCTCCACCATGCAAAGCCTGCCCAGCCCATCCGAGATCCGAGCCTTTTGGAATGTACCCCTTTATCGAGTTTCTGAATCATACAGTACTACTGGGATAGTTATGATATAGCATGAATCGATTTTGGTTTCTACTGACACCCTGCAGCTTACTGGTCAGTTTTCTGGAGACCTACTACACCGGTTTGACATTTTCATGTGTACTGTATGCAGTGATATTATATTCAAACATCTAGAAAAAGATGTATCAACACGTAAACCACTTATATCTTAAAGGATAAGCACTTATACTTAGACGGATTGCATTTATGACAAAACTTGATTATACGTTTAAAATGTTTAGTTCAAAATTACACAATCTCCTGATAACATAGATCTTTTACGGTAGGTAATAAACTACATTTTAAAGTGAAATAGTGTGTAGGCAAACTCTGGATCAATATTTTTGTATACAAACAACTTGTAACATAAACATTTCAATGAAAGTTAGAAACCAGCTGTTAGTTTAAACCACCACTAAAACGACTTTAACTCGTCCGTCGGCTGCTAGACTTTTTGAAAATTAAAACCTAATTTCTAAAAAACTGGGACCCTAAACTAAAACTATGGCTTCCCTTGTTCTCAAAATTATCTTTCTTTCAAAACAAAAATCATGAAAATCCGTCAAGTGGTTGATTCAGAATCGTGAAATAAAAAACCCTGTTTTGTTTTAATATTATAGATTACTATGTTGATTGGTATTATTATCAACAGCTGTTAAATATTTTAATATTTTGCTTTCGCTATCTTATGTATACAGTTTAGTTATTGTGGATTATGAGAATAATTTTAAACTTTCAGATCACATCTGTTTACACGCTATTTCAGATTTTGATTTTGTTTTAGTACATTAAAAGAAATTAACATTCATCAAATAAGGTTTTGTAGTAGGGTTGATTATTTTCCAAAACACAACTTCTTAAAGAAAACAATTTTCTCTGTCAATTCCTCCCCCCTCCCTTGCTAAGCACGGGTACAGCGGTGTTAACAGGTTGTATTACCATGATTAACTTTAAGAGAAAAAAAAGAAAAATTGCTAAAACAAATTGAAAAATTGTTAACAACCATTTTTATATGTCGTATTCTTTTATTTTCTAGTCGTTCCTGTTGGGGCTGCTGGTAGTCCACCATGCCCGATGGTCCTTGGCACAAACCCAGACTTCTGTCTCTATCTCTGCCAATGGACAGCGTCCCATCGCCTACAACATCGTCAGCGGGCCCGCCGACGCCACCGCTATCGCCGGGTCGTACGACAGGTTCGGGCAGTACCAACAGACAGCCAGCTACGTCCGACCTGGGGTAGGGAAACGAGACGTCCCCATTCCGGTCATACCGTTTAGACCTAGGACCAACGCATTCTCTTTCAGTACTTCTGAACCTGCACAAGGACCGTTTGGTGGTCAGGGAGAAGCCTTTGCCCCGCCACAAGGAGCATTTGCTCCCGCCAGTAACGCGGCACCTTTTAATTCGTATGGTCTTCCTGAAAGCTCGTCTTCGGGTGATGATTTGTCGACTATTTATGTAGGCAATGCTCCTGCTCCTCAGCCGGTGTATGGACTTCCAGCTGCAGCACCACCTCCACCCCCACCACCACCCCCACCACCACCGCCACCACCACCTCCACCTCCTCGACCACCACCACCACCTCCGCCACAACCGGCTCCAGAGTATGGTCCTCCTGCTCCCTACTCTCCTCCGGCCTTTGCCCCACCACCTCCACCTCCACCACCTCCACCCCCTCCACCACCACCCCCTCCACCTCCACCTCCTCCACCACCACCACCACCACAACCGGCTCCAGAGTATGGTCCTCCTGCTCCCTACTCTCCTCCGGCCTTTGCCCCACCACCTCCACCACCTCCACCACCACCACCACCACCACCTCCTCCACCTCCTCCACCACCGCCACCACCACAACCGGCTCCAGAGTATGGTCCTCCTGCTCCCTACTCTCCTCCGGCTTTTGCACCACCACCACCTCCACCTCCACCCCCACCTCCACCCCCACCTCCACCTCCTCCACCTCCTCCACCACCTCCGCCACCACCTCCGCCACCCCCACCTCCACCACAACCGGCTCCAGAGTATGGTCCTCCTGCTCCTTACTCTTCTCCGGCTTTTGCCCCACCACCTCCTCCACCACCACCGCCTCCACCACCGCCTCCTCCTCCACCTCCACCTCCTCCTCCACCACCAAGACCCCACAGCCAGTACGGAGTCCCTGATAGTTTTAGAGAAGAATTTTCTCCACCAGCTGGATCTAGTTTTGCAAACGCAATCTTCGTCCCCGCACCCAGCCAAGATGTACAGCCTGAGGGGGAGTTCGCGCCCCCGGCTTCAGGATTTATTCCCCCTGAAGGTGCCCTTCTATCTCCTCCGGCAACTTTTGGAAACCAGATAGTACCCAGCCCAAGATATCCTTTAAGAAGATCGGGGTAGTAAACCCTACTGTTATGTTTGTAATTTGAACTTTGTACATTTTATACAATACATGTTGTTACGTAATATGTTTATTTCCATTTTTACCTGATCAGAAATAATAATCTGACATCTTTAAATATTTTTTATATCACACAAAACTTAGAGCTAAATAGAATATTTGGCGTTATGTGTCCACCACACGGAATAATATAATACAAGTATAATAACACCATTCATTTTTATTTATAAATTAATCTATATGCAGAGATTTCCAGATAATTAACTAGATTTTCCACAATCACTAGAAAAAACAATTTTATTAGATTTAGTTTTAGATTTAGTATAACATTTAGTTTACATTATCGACGGATTGTGTTTTGTTTTAATTTTTGCAACTGCTATAAAAATATGAACTTAAAAAATGTTGACACATGTATTTTTTGGATGAATTGTTATGTTGTTATTACAGAATAATATTTTGTAGTATTTTACTATGATTGAGTATGCTTTTCTTTTGTGAGTAATTAAATAATTTTCTGCTCAGTATCGAATCTTTTTCTCTCCATTTTTGACTTTTAAGAATTTTATTCCTAGATATGGTGAATAAAGACTCTGTATTGCAATATTTCAAGGTAAACACCACAAACATAGCTGAAAACCTTTTAGAACAATGATGTTAGGCATTTCCATGAAAACACCAAGTCACTGTATAAAGAATCAGTTAACATATTTCTTTAGAATCATGATGTACTGTATTATTAATCTAGCTGATGACACAATTTTTTCTCTGTTAATAAATGATTTTTTTACCTGATTGAATCATTTTAGTTCACACATCCTCTAGATATGTATTAAATAAAATGTTAAGTACCATAAACAGCACCAACACCATAGAAAATCTAAGTAATTCTCTTTGTCATAGTATCAAGATCATCCTGGCAAAAAGAAACTCGCTGCAGTAAGTTTATTTTCACTTTTATGAATATTACTTGAGGGTTTTCAATATTGAGTTTCCTGGTCCACTTAAAAGTTGTGCAGACAAATAATCTAGTTTGGATTGAAGTGAAAGGAGGTTCGCAAGTATTCATTGTGTATTGTGTGCTGATAATCTATTTTTGGCAAGTTTAAAGCTCTCTAAGAAAAACATGGTTCACCACACAGAGTATAAAGGCCTGTAGAGATATTTTTTCAGGTATAACTTTTCAATTTGTCTGGTTGAATATTATTCCGTCTAAGTCCTAGACCTAGACCTAGACATGGTAGACTCAGAATGCCTTTGTAATGCACAACGGCTCCAGGGGTGGCTTCGACCATCGGCTGGTGAAAGTTGCCATATTTTACACTTAAGCCGTTTTGCCGTCCAACTTAGCCGGCTGGAAAATTCCCTTCCTTATTACCTACGAGCCTTACTATAAAGTACATCCATCTAATGAAAAGTGTTATACCGTAAAAGTACGGAACACTGTATTTGGATAGCCAAAACGATTTGCATTTTATGGTGACGAGAAGTTGGTGTGTTAAAAAAACAAAAAAACTAAAGTTTTATTGTATAAAACTCCTCTGTGGTAAAAAAAATATATATATTATGTGAAGGGCTTTATAAACACTAAATGGGTTTAAAATAACAAAATTTATTTAAATATAAAGTATTAAGTAAATTCATTTGACATGGTAGTTGACATTTTTTGTGTTTTATACTGTTATAAAGCTATATACTTCGAAATAAAACACGATTACTTATGTTAGGACGATTCTTACTTACTAGGGGACCCATGGGCAAACTGTCTATTTTAATAGGGCTTAAAGCTTGATTCCAAGGTAAAAATAACAATGCCCTTTAACTTTTCAAAAAACTAGATGTACCCCATAAAGGCTGAAGAGTTATTTACCTACCGCAATCAAGTTTCAATGATCCAAAAAGTAGCTTATTTAAAATCCATTTTCATAAACTGTTTGGTCTGTCTCTTGTGTACAATCTAACTGTATTCAAGTGAAGGATCAGCTGTTGGATTACAATGAAGAAAGTTGGTCAGGAACAGTGAATCTTTTAAAGTAAATTCTAGAAATAATTTTAATGCAATGGGACAAAACCCTTAAGTAAATTATTGCCGTTTTCGTTACCATTAGCAGGTACGAAGCTTCATTTAAGGGCCATAAGCCTTAAAATGACACAAAAATCGTAAAAATTGGTCCAGTGGGACAGCTGAAAAAGAGACGTTACAGATACATCTTTATTGTATTAAATATGTAAATTGACCATCACGTATTATTTACAACTTCATGACATAGGTCTGATGAAAATTATAAAAGGGAAGATTATTTGAATTTTTATACAAAAGGAACTAACAAGAACTCACCTATATTGTATCAGACGGTGGTTTAGCATGTTCTTTATAGAGGTTATGATATTTAAGTTTTCTTAATAGTTATCTTTTCTATGTACTATGGTATTTTTAATCTTTTAAATGTATCCTCATATAGGATGTTATAAGATGTATATATAGGATGTTATAGGATATATAGGATGATATAGGATGGATATAGGATGTTTTCGTCTTTCTTCTGTGAGAAAGCTTAGATTAGTTTAGTGTGTTAAATGGTAGAAGAAAACCCCGTTAAAAAGAAATCTTTTTTCGTTGTTCATATTTTCCATCCAAACGGTAAAGGTTTATGGAATAATTCTGTAAAAATTTGCAAAGTAACTATTACTGCTAATAACTATTATTTCATGAAATATTATTTAGTCGTACTAACTTCGTATCTTTTAGGTATTATACGCAACGTTTTCAGTTTTGTAAGCTTAAGGATGTCATACAATCTCGAAACTTGATACTAATCTTAGTATCAAGGAAACATCATTAGTGGCCATTGGAGTTGAATAGGTTAGTATACAAATCCTTGATTGGGGTTTATCCTTGTTTACATAGTTTGTTATGCAACACCTTTAGACGATTTGAAGCATGATGAACAAAAAAAGGAAACATTTCCATCCATATAAGCAGGCATTTTTAATAAGGAAACTCTTTAAGTATTGCTAGATCTAATAAAATGTAACACAGTGCCTCGCAAGCAAAATAAAATAAAATTCATGACACAAAAAGTCAAAAATATTTCTATGGTTGGCAAAATTAAATATACAGTAGTTCCGTTAATATTACAATATTTTAACTATCTTTAATTCATACTTGGGATAAAATACATACTTTGCATGGTCGCTATTTTAATGAAAAGTTTTAAATTATTAAGTAACAAGTTTTATAAATATCAGATTTTATTTGTCATTAAGAAATAGGTATAGTTCAAACATTTATTAGTAACAAATTTACCTGAAAAGTTTCTACCACTGCCCTGAAGAATGAGGCATTTAAGGGGCAGCATCTGGGTAAGCATTTCATGTAAATTATAGAAAGATACACATTGCCACATTCAGTAAAATATTTTTTCCAATTAGATGTAGCTGAGGAAGTTCTCCAAAACACAAACAGTACTTCTCACCTGAGAAAACTCTAGCTTTTATGTTTCCACATAAATTTGCCTACAGCTTTAGGTGGGTTCCGAACATGTGGGTTTCATTTTGCATGACCAAAGCCAAAATCCATAGGTGATTTGTAGGATTCGAACCCGGGTCAGAAAACAAGTATCTTACCACTAGTTAAACCATATTGTACATACATATGGTGAAATCCATTCATAGATCAACACAGAATACAGTTTCATTATTATATCCCTCGTTACACGCAATATTTGAGACTTGTTTGCAGTTTGTTAAAAAGTGCTGGGACGGTTTAATATATTCTAACCGTCGTATATACAATATAACTGGATAAATTGATATACCTATGATAGTAATAAAAATCCACCTTTTGAGGAACTAAGAATTTTTTATTTTATCTTATAAGGATTGCCCACGAGAAGTGAAACAAAGTCTTAAATTTAAGCGTAGGTCGATATGAACACCAAATTAAAGGGCTAAGGATTAATAAAATAAGGGGCTAAGGTTAATAAAATATAATGCTGTAAATTTGAGCTCAAAAATACAAAATTGGAAGCCACTCAAATATTTCTTGAATTTGTAATTTTGAATTTATCAACGGCTGCTATGTTTTACTCAGTCGAGCTCAAAATTGCGGCATTAAACTCTACTAGTAAAGAAAGACCTTTAGTTTTATGTGCATGAACTTCTAGCGAGCGCCCTTAATATTAAGAGGTAGTAAATATATATATGCGTACCTAATATCAAAAGTAGTAAATTCAAGAAATTTTTGAACGGCAGCAAAAATGTGTTTCTTTTTTTTAGTAGACATTGTGTTAGAAAAGTCCCAGATAAGTTAAATATTTCAAGCAATAATAAAGATAGAACTACCAAACACAAATAAAAAATAGACTGTTGTCCGCTAAAGTTTGGGTTTACGGAATTTTATTTTACCAACAAACACATATAATTTGATTTGTATACGAACTATTCTTACATTTAACATTTTCTTCTGACTCCTAGCGGGAGCCACCTAAGGACGAAATAACATCACATAATGATGTTTTAAAATGCTTTTAGTGAGGATTATATTTTTTCTTTGTTATCTTTATTATTGCTTGAAATATTTAACCTATCTAGGACTTTTCTAACACAATGTCTACTAAAAACAAGTGCCCCTTTTTTTAGTGACATCAAAAGCATGGAAGCCTAATAGATGGTTGACAATGTAGAAGGATGTATGGTAAAGTGTACCAAAGTAACTATTTTTACATAAAACTCACGAAAAATCTGTTATTGTAAACAAAACTGTTACTTTCAAGAAATTGAAGTAGAAATTTCCTCATTGCATTAAAAAAAATATTAAGGAAGCAATTTAAAATCTAAATTATCTGAGAGTTCTAAATCTTTTAATAATTCATATATTTTCATCGTAACTAACTTAATCGTATATTTTTATAAATGATATGTTGGACATAGAGATTTATACTTCAAAATGAATTGGAGAATAACCTACTTTCATTATAAAATTAGGTTGATGGGTCTC